AAAAAATAAATAAAAAAAAAAAAAAAAAAAAAAAAGGACGATGAGGACGAGGACGGAGACGAGGGCGAGGGCAAGGGCGAGGACGAGGACGAGCTGCGGTTAGGCGATCTGGCTCCCGCTGCTCGGGACGACGTCCACGTACTTCCTCTACGACGTGGTCTCGTGGGGCGTCGGCAGCCGCCTCCCGCCTCGCCGCCCCCCCCCCTCCCCTCCCCTCGGAGGACGATGAACCCGGCGCGGCCTCCGAGCCTGCGCGGCATCCTTTGCTCTTTGGGCTTCGCTGGCATTGCCTGGGCCCTGCTGGCACCACCTGATTTGGCAGCAGGACAACTGGGCTCCTCCTCCTCGTCGTCCTCCTCCTCCTCCTCCTCCTCGTCCTCCTCCTCCTCCTGCTCCTCCTCCTCCTCCTCCACCTCCTCCACCTCCTCCTCCTCCTCCTCCACCACCTCCTCCTCCTCCTCCTCCTCCTCCTCCTCCTCCTCCTCCCCCTCCTCCCCCCCCTCCAGCCACGTCGGCTCTGCCAGGAGCGGGGCAGCCTGGAGAATCTGGGCAACCCTGGCAACCCGGGCCACTGGGGCCTGGGCAACCAGGGCAGCCGGGGCAGCGGGCTTCAGCGGGCCACGCGGGCAACGGGGCGGCGCGGGCGACCAGGCCGGGCGGGCCACCGGGCAGTCCAGGCAACCCGGGGCACAGGCACAGGCCGGCGCAGGCCGCGCGCAGTAGGTGGTCCTCCGAGAAGCAGGGCCTCGGCACGAACGGAATGGGTACGGTCAAGACGCTGAAATAAGGATCGGAGGTGGACAGGCCTCCTACCCGGACACGTCGATTGGCGAAATGGCCGTTTTCGGTTCGCGAGAGGGCGTCGCGGCCGTTATGTTTGCGGGTCCAGGTCCGTCGGTTTCGGTCCCAGGCCGTTTTCACTAAGGAGAGGTCTACGAGAGGGAGGTTTGTCCACCGCCGAAAGGAACAGCTTGAGTTCGGAAGGGGCTCGATGTTCCTTGGGTTCCTCCAGTGCTGTTCCTCTTGCCCTCCTGGGGCACGGAGGCGCTTACAGGGCCAAGAAGGGGCTTCGTTCCTTGTTTGGCGTTCCCTCTCTCAGCGGCCCGACGGTACGGAAAGAAGAGGCACAGTGCCCAACAGCGGTTCCTGTTCCTTCCGAACCGGACTCGCTGTCGGTGTCGCCGTGGCCCGTGTACATTTGAGACAGGCAGCCGCCTGCCCAACAGCGGCCACTGCTGGTTTGGGACAGCATTTGTTGTTGGGCATTGTGCCCATCTTTTCCGTACCCATTTCGGGCGTCCAAAGAGCCTTCAGGAGGCCTGCCGGGAGCCCCTGACAGTCTGTCCTTTGGGCCCCAAGGCTCAAATCGGGTGTGGTAGGGCCCTGGAGCACCTAAATTTGCCAGAATCTCTAAACCAGGTCTGCAGTAGCTGGTGTTTTTGTTCGGGTGACGGCAGTTCCGGTTAGTGGAACGGGGCGGGGGCGCGTCCCACAGTACACATCATTAAACCAGGTCCCACTAAACCCAGTTATGCCAACGCCCGATCAAAGCTCAGAGGGCCCTAGAGAAGCGCGCAATGCCTCGCGGAACGGTGGCCGACTGTATATTTGATCATTCGTTTTTTGGTGTGGAGTCGCATCAATATCTGCCTTCGAGAATTGAGCTCCCGCTGCAGGGCTGGCTCCTAGCCTGGTTGCGCAGCAAATGACGGGTCAAATCTTGCAGTTGCCATTTGGGCACCGAGACCCTCTGGAATACCCCAGTCGGCGGATAGATAAGAATCCAACACAATGGGAAGGGATGGGTGGGAGGTGTAGTATGCCCGACGTCGCGTGATCTCACCAAGTCGGCCCCCCCCCGTCCATACTTATCCTCGTGCTACTCGTGCTCGTTCTCCTTTTCTTCCTCCTCCTCGTTACCGTTCTTCGCCTCGTGCTCTGCGTCCCCGCTTCTCACGCCCCCTCATCCCCTCCCTCCGCCTCGGCAGCTACACGTCGTCCATCTTCGAATCCAGCACCCGTGCTGGCACTCTCTGGTACATGCTGCTCATAAACGCCATGGCGACGCCAGGCGCTCGCGCCCCGAGGAGGCGGGGAGCGGGATGGGGCAGCAGAGATGGCAGAAGAGGGCGAGGAGGAGGAGGAGGAGGAGGAGGAGGAGGAGGAGGAAGAGGGGGAGGGGGAGGAGGGGGGGGGAGGAGGAGGAGGAGGAGGAGGAGGAGGAGGAGGAGGAGGAGGAGGAGGAGGAGGAGGAGGAGGAGGAGGGGAGGAGGAGGATGGGAAGGGGCAGGGAATGACGGATGACGTAGCAGGGAGCGCGGGGGCGCCCCGAAGAGGTGGGAAGAGGGAGTCAGGAGGAAACAAAAACACACAGACACAATTAATCGTCGATCCCCCAGAAAAGATGGGAAAATATGGGAAGTGGTGGGGAAGGCAAAAACCTAGAAAATATATTATCCCGGCAAAGCAACCTAACAGCGATGTGTAGAAGCATATCTGAAAGCATTCCCCTTAAGATTCAGATGAAAATCCAGTTGTAGAATTCTGCTGTTCTCGCAGTCGTAGTCGCATTCGCGATGACAGTCGCAGCGGCAACGGCAGTCGCAGTCACAGCCTCAGCCTCAGCCTGCCTCAGCCTCAGCCTCAGCCTGCCTCAGCCTCAGCCTGCCTCAGCCTCAGCCTCAGCCTGCTTCAGCCTCAGCCTCAGTCTGCCTTCAGCCTCGGCCTCAGCCTCAGCCTGCCTCAGCCTCAGCCTGCATCAGCCTCAGCCTCAGCCTCAGCCTGCCTCAGCATCAGCCTCAGCCTCAGCCTCAGCCTGCCTCAGCCTCAGCCTCAGCCTCAGCCTCAGCCTGCTTCAGCCTCAGCCTCAGTCTGCCTTCAGCCTCGGCCTCAGCCTCAGCCTGCCTCAGCCTCAGCCTGCCTCGGCCGCAGCATCAGCCTGCCTCAGCATTCAAAATGTGGCCCAGGAACAGAGTTCTGGGAACTAGAAGAACACGAAGTGGCCTACAGTTGGCTCCCGGCATTCAAAATGTGGCCCGGGAATGAAGTTCTGGGAGTTTGAAAAGCACGAAGTGGCCTTCAGTTGGCTACGGGCATTCAAAATGTGGCCCGAGAATGGAGTTCTGGGAACTCGAAGAGCACGAAGTGGCCTAGAGTTGGCTCCGGGCATTCAAAATGTGGCCCGGGAATGGAGTTCTGGGAACTCGAAGAGCACGAAGTGGCCTACAGTTGGCTCCGGGCATTCAAAATGTGGCCCGGGAATGGAGTTCTGGGGACTCGAAGACCACGAAGTGGCCTACAGTTGGCTCCGGGCATTCAAAATGTGGCCCGGGAATGGAGTTCTGGGAAGTCGAAGAGCACGAAGTGGCCTACAGTTGGCTCCGGGCATTCAGAATGTGGCCCGGGAATGGAGTTCTGGGAGGTCGAAGAGCACGAAGTGTGTGACAGTTGGCTTAAAACGACTTCTGCGGCACCCTGTCCGGCACCCGCCCAGACCCCCTTGTGGAGTCATCTGCTGCTCTCTTTTGACACCACTAGAAACCTATCAGAACAAGCTGTTAGGTAATGAAAATATGGGGAATATGTTTATTTGTGTGTATTTATTTGTGTGTCCCAGGGCCCCTTCAGGGAGGGTGGACGGCGGAGGAGGCAGGAGGGAGGGCGAAGGTCGAAAAACAGCATACTTCGTACACATAATGTCTTGGAGTTCCGCGCGGATTTTTGTTGGACCGGCATCGGGCCTCCTTGGCGGCGCCTCTTGCGCCAGAGTTGGCACCCTGCACGCGCCAGGAACGGGAGGCCAGCGCCGATCCACCGGTCCTGCCCTGCCAGCGAAGGGGGGAGAAGGGACGGGAGGGGGAGCGGTGCTATAGTCTAGTTCAGTTCCGGGTGTGTCTCGGAGATGGTTCGTGGCTCGGAGGTCGACTTGTTGCGAAAAGTGGTGTTCCCAGCCTGTTGTTCTGAATTTGAGCGCTGCGGAGAGAATCGAGGCGAAATGGATGGAAAGAAGATGTGTCCAGAACTCTGCCTCGTCCAGACGAGCTGAGCATATGGACTGTGAAGGCCGTGCGGCCGGTGCCGCCGACCCTGAAAGAGGCGTGTGGGAGGCAAGGACTCGAAGGGGAAGCTTCTCCCACGAAGGGGTGCTCCCCCACGGGGGGTGGGGGTGGTCACGTCCGATCGATCAGGACGAGATATCATCTTGCAATCTCCTGGAGCCTCCTGGGAAATCCTGAAGCCTCCGGGGGCTTCCTGGGCCCTCCTGAACCTCCTGGGGCCTCACGGGGCCTCCTGGAACTGCCTGGGGCCTCTTCGAGCATGGTGGGATCTCCTGGTGCTTTCTGGTGCCAGTTGACTCGTGGGGCATGCTGGAGCCTCATGGAGCTTACTTTAATTTTCTGGTGACTGGAACCTCCTGGAATCTCCTGGGGCCTCCTGGGATCTATTGGGCTCTCTTGGGGCTTCTTGGGGCCAACTCTCGCGCAACATCAATGAACCCAATATTGCGAGGATGTCGCAGGTAATACAAGCTGGTCCACCTCTGGTCAGAGCATGTGGGAGCTCGGAGTTGCACTGATGTTTCTGGCGAAACGGGCCGGGTCATCTTCGCACGGGCCTTCCGAGCCGAGAGTTGCGAGGAAGTCTCTGGCGGATCGGGGTGGGCTGTGGATGGGGCGAGCACAGGGGGAACGGGGCCGGAGAGACGTATGGGGGGAGCGGCAACAGGATGAGCGCAAGGAAGGGAGCCAGGGGAGTGAGCGCAGGACGGAGGGGAGGGCATGGCAGGGAGACACGGAGGGGAGGGAGACAACGGCCGAGTCTTCTTGTCTGGCGCTCGAGCGCGCCGTGGAACTCCAGGGCAGCCGCCGGAGGGCCCCGCGGAGGCCCCGAGCAGGGCCCCGAGGGAGCGCCCACGGGCTGCCCCCCTTGGGCGCACCCGGCCCCAGTGGGCACCAACACCGGCATCGGCGGTGTGCCTCCTCGCCGAGGGAAGGTCGGGGGCGGCAGAGAGGGGGGCGATGACTAGGGGGGGGTGGATATCATGGCGAGGGCCATGATATTTTCCCAGATTTCATGGCGCCTCTTCTTGTTTCATTACGTCCCCAGCCCCCCCCCCCTGGCCGCGCACATGTCGCCGGTCATGATTTGCACCCCCCCCCTCTGGGACACCCCCCTCTTGGCCGCTCCCGAGGAGTCGGGGGCGGCAAAGAGGGGGGTGATGACCAGGGGGGCCGACGGAGGGGGTTCCAGCTCAGGGGGAGAGGGGGGGGGGAACGTCGACCTGGACTCGGCGACACGTCGACGATGCTCGGGCCCCGAAGCATCGGCGGACGAGCGGGCGATGGGGGGGCCGACGCGTTCTCCCCGGGGGCCCGTGCCCCCCCGAGCGAGCGCCCTGCGGGTGCCACAGACGTCTGCGTGGGCCATGATATTTCCCCAGATGTTGTGGCGCCTCTTTTTATTTCATTAAAATCAGGCTGGCATTGTCTTTTGCCCACGCGCTCCAGCGTATGGCAGTTCGTTCGTTCGTTCTTATTTCATTACGTCCCTGGCCCCCCCGCTGGGCCGCGCACATGCCGCCGGTCATGATTTGCACCACCCCCTCTTGGATGGTGGTGGTGGTGGTGGTAATATCAGGCGAGCGCAAACATGGATCAAGGGGGCGTGGATAAGCGACGGGTCCCGTGTCCATGGGGAATCGCGATTTCCGCCGCCGAGCGAGGCGGCACCGGCCGCCTTTGGCGGAGGGCACCTCCCCCGATCCATGGATTTGGCGACCGCGCGCCAAGTCCATGGATCGCGAATCCATGTTTGCGCGCCCCCGATGATAGTCGGACTTTCAGTCTGTGGAACCCAAAAGGGTTTCAGTGACACCAGGGTGGTGCAATATATTGGGTGCAATTAATTTCTATTCGCAGTGAGTTGTCCACTCCACTGCTCGCGCCAACATCCCACCCACCCACCCGCAACTTGGTTTGTAAAATCTCTTAAGACCGTGACGGTGGGTACAAAATGGCACTTGACAACGACAGCGACGACGACGACGACAGCGACAACGACGACGACGACGCCGCCGACAACGACTACGACGACACCGACGACATCTCCAACGACTTCGACGACGCCGACAACGACGACGACGACGACGACGACGACGACGACGACGACGACGACGACGACGACACCGACGACGACGACGACGACGACGCCGAAGCCGACGACGACGACGACGATGACAACGACGACACCGACGACGACAACGACGACACCGACGACGACGACGACGACGACGTCAACGACGCCGACGACGACGACGACGACGACGACGGCGGCGGCGACGGCGGCGACGCCGAGGTCGACGACGACGAAGACGACGACGCCGACGCCGACGACGACGACGAAGACGGCGACGACGTCGCCAACGAAGAAGACGACGAGGGAGGAGAGAGGACGACGACGGCGACAACGACGACAACGACGAGGGAGGAGGGAGGACGGCGACGACGCGAACGACGAAGAAGGAGGAAGGACGGCGACGCCGACGACGACAACGGCGAGGGAGGAGGGAAGACGACGACGACAACGACGACGACGACGACGAAGACGACGACGGCGACGAAATAGGAGGGACGACGACGAGACGCCGACGACGGACGACGAGGACGACGAGGGAGGAGGAGGAAAGACGACCACGGCGACAACGACGACGGAAACGACCACGATGCCAAAGACGACGACGACGACGACGACGACGACGAACACGAGGAAAGGCAGAGGCCGACGTAGGCGACGACGACGACGACGACGCGGGAGGAGGGAGGGCGGCGACGACGACGACGACGACGCAAGAGCGCGCGCGCACGCGTTTATTGAAAACCCGTGTTGCGAAACCTTATGTTGTTTGTAGCTTTTTCCCAACCATTCTGTGGTGTTGGGTCCTCGTTTTGAAGAGACGTCGCCCCGCGTCCCTCCTTCCTCCTCCTTCCTCCTCCTCCCCTTCCTCCCCCCTCCTCCCCCTCCCACACCCATTCTGGCACACCCCTCACACGTTTCGTGGCCCCATAGGGAGCT